CTCTCCACAGAACCGTTCCCTGGTGCCCAAAAAACAGGGAACAACCAGATGATTGAATTCTCCTTAATTTAAGGCTACATTGATTTTAATTAATATTAGACCCTAACATTTCAGAAATTTATTTTAAGAATATGAGCTCATTAAATCTGCTTTAAAACATGGTGAGGTCCATGGTCATGTGATGTTATAATAATACTTTGTAATAAATCTGATTGCCATGTTTTTTAGTATTTTCCAAATAAGGGGATCCCATTCTTTTTGAGTTAGTGGGCACACTGGATAAATTCTAAACTTCTTGTGAGTGTTCACCGATTGCCTATTCTCAAAATAGCTACCATGGGAATATACCCACATATAAATCTATAATTCATTAATTTACCACATTTCTCACCATCTCTAGCAGGTATCCTTGAAACCAACTGGGGGTCCCAGTGTTAGATGAACCACATTGTTTTTTAATATTAGCTGTTGAAAAGAACTGGTATGCTGTCTTTCAAAGTGAAAGATCCTGCATCTTCTTACAGAAGAAAAAATATGTTTTTGTGTCAGGATGATGGTAAATTTATTTTAAGAGTTGCTATGCAAATATCAGTATATGTGCATGCATGTATATATAGCTTTTGAATGTTTTTTGTCAAGTATCAAAAATACCATTTAAGATTGCAAGAAATCATGTGCAAAAATCATAAGTGCTGTGAAATATTAATAGCATTATAAAGAAAGTTTGTTATAAGCAAATAACATTTTACGTTTAATCAATACATTTTCTTGCATCCATAGACTGAGAATAAAAGCTTGATATACCTTACTAATTAGGTAAAATAATTCAGTTTGAAAAATGCAATTTAAAAAAACTTTGCTTTCCCAGGACAAGGATATTATTTTCAGGTTTATGTCTGCTAATTTTGTTTCAAGATTTGGATTATGAAAGTTCACTGAGCACAGTTTATACCATTGATTGATCTAAATTAAGCTGTAGATATTAAATATTTCTGTCAAATATAGGAATGTGATCCATTTCAAAATCTTATTTATATTAACAAGTGAAATGCACTGCAAATTCAGTTGATACAATGGGATAAATGAAAAAGAATGAAATAAATTTAATGACTTTTCTGAGATGGAAAAGATTGATTTTTTTAAAGCCAAGGAAATAGCCTATTATTTTTCTGAATCAATGTTAGTAGCATTTTTAAGGTTTCTTGAAGTTTAAAGATTCTAATTCTATTTTATAGCTGCAGTTATTCACTTGATTTTTCTTACTGGAAGGAAGGCAAGATGGGTAAAGTTGCTTTTCTTGTTAAATGGCAGTCTGTATTGTATATTGAAATTTCTACACAGCTGTAATGAACATTTTAGCAGCAACTCCAACACCACATGTCAAAGTGTATTACCAATTAATAAACAGCTCTGTAACAATATTTTAAAACATCCAATTCCTTATCAGAAATATTTTTAGCAAGATCATGGAACTGCATCTGCTTCATCACTACTAGTATTTTGGCTATGATTTAATACTTTGAACCCGATTGTTAATTACAAAATGATCGTGCATCTAAATAAAGCCCAACTCAAGTTTAATTACATGAATTTAGATTTATTTGCTTTATATCACTATTACCTTATAGTATTTTAATCCATCACAGGATTGTTTAGTTAGTGAACCCACAAAGACAATAACACTGCTGTGGAAGACCAAAGGGGGGGAGCTATTTTAATTTATTTACACTTCTTTGTCTGTAAACATTGAATCTACATATACTCTACTAATAGAAGTAAAGAGCTATACATTGAGACAGAAAACAATGCTGTGTGTTTTTTTAGCAATATAAAGCATGAGCATATTGTAGGATAAAATATTCTCTTTTCCATTACCACAGCAGTAAGCATTCCCCAGGTAATTCTGAAACAACTTATATTAGTAACATTCTATACAACTATAGCTAATTATTTGAGCTAAGCCATTTGGCTTTTTATTCCATTGCTAGAATAATTTAAAGTGCTAGAAGCAACCCGTCAATCAATACTTTCCCCCCCTCTAAAATAACAAAAACTACTTTTAAACATTAATGTACAAGTTAATATATACAATATTCATTTGAAATAGAATAGCTGAGATTTCAGCACAAAGTCATTCACTGTCACATTAACAGCATTTTTAAATTAGTTTTCTTTTGCATAAACATAGAATATAAGCTTTGAAACAATTGTTGTTATTGCCACAATGGCTTTTTAGTTTTTCTACAAAAGTGGACAAGAGCTACTGATTTACTATAATTTGTTTTTTTTTCTTTTTTTCTTTTTGCTTTGAGGTCACAGAACAGTAAATTTTGCATATTAACACATCTACTGAGTTATGATGTCTATCTAGAGTACGTTACCCCATTGCATCAGAGCTGGTGCAAACTGCAGTTTTACAACAAAGATCCACTCAAAAGAAGAGAAAAACACCACACCTATTTTGTTTTCTGTTTTGGACAGGAGCAATTCTTGGAGATGATGTGCTACAAGGCTACAACAGAAGAACTATAAAACAGAGTGGTGTGTTATGTATGTGTGTGCATGTGTAGATATACACACAGACACACACGCATAAATTTGATGCATATTATATGCTGTTTGGAAAAAATGCATCTGTTTCATAGCTTTAGCAATAAGAAGGTATTATATGTACTATGAATTACTCACTGCATTATGCTTACTTTTCAAGTTGCTCATTGCTATTTTATATATATTGATCACGTAGCTGAATCCTTGCCCAGCATTTGTCCCAAGCCTGCAGATCATTTAATGGCATGTGCAAAATGCTTCAATACAATCAATAGGGCAGCTACTGTTTCAACAGTAAAATACAACAGATACCAATTCATGACATGTGAATAAAATATGGGGTGATATTTGATTGAAATGAACAGCCAAGACTGATCACTGTTGGTAAATTATGAACCTCTCTTACTTAGGCCAAGTAAATACAGTATAACTCAAATTAGATTTTATGTTGCTTAAAGGTTGCTTCAGTGAAACAGTTAAACAGAAATAAAGGAATTTTTTGAATTGTGAGAATAAGAACAAATGGATATGTGAATGACATGATGATAAAAACCTGCCTCCCGTAAAGAAATAATCAATTACGATTTGAAAGCTTTTTTAACTTTCAAAAATGAAAAAAAAAAATCTGAACAGTCAGTTCCATTCCAATATGCTGATGTGAAAGACATTTTGATGGTCATGCAGAGGATGTAGAAAGGCATTGCAAAACAAGCTACATTATATTGCTTTAAGGGCTTTCTGAGCTGCATTGATCAGTATCAGGTTTGGGACAAACTTTTGTAGTATTTAACAGTTTATACTTATTCAAAGCCCCAAATTTCAATATCTTGTATTATGAAGTCTTCTTTCTTAGAAAGTGTGCGATTCCCAAAGGTTTTACAAGAGTGACTTCTTCCGTGGTAGATATCTCCATCAAGCCATAAAGCAAATTCACCCCTGCAGTATGAAGAGAATTAGTTTGCCAGATATTAAAAATAATTTTCTTCCCATTACTGTATTCAATTGTAGATCAAATATTAAATCAATAACTTTCCTTGCAAAATTCTAATTTGAAAGCTTCAGATTGCCTTTCAATTAATTGGTCAAAGTAGAAACAGTCACCACCTTTAAGAATTTTGTTAGAAGTTCAGGTGATGACATCTCTGTTACTGTATATTTGATATAAATGATGAAATGGCAACGTGAAGATAAACAAAACCCAAACTCTTTCCTGGCATGTAGGGTCATCTGGACTTGGTCAACCCAGATCCAGCAGTCTCATATTAGCATGGCATCAATGCAGTGTAAAGACACATGCACAAATGCAAATTGGGTCTTCCATGGAAACGTTATAATAAATAAATAAAACCAAGAACTTTATCTTCTTTGTGGGGTCTGCCATGGAAATGTTATAATAAATGAATAAAACCAAGAACTTTATCTTCTTTGTAGTAACACATTTAAGCCACAAGACTGCAGACTGAAAAGACATTGGGCCAAGAAGAGCACATTTTGGCTTTGCATTAAAAACTGAGTTCTTGCTTTTATATTTGCTAATGCCTAGCGAAAACAAAGTGAGACAGACTAAACTAATTAAGATCCAGTCTGGACTAGTAGTGACAATGCTGACTTAGAAACTACAGAATGGTGAATTCTAGTCCCCCCTTAGGCATAAAAGCTGGCTGGTTGACTTTGGGCCAGTCCCCCTCTCAGCCCAACTTACCGCACAGGGTTTTTCTTGTGGGAAAAATAGGAGAGGGAAGGAATATTGGTCTATTTGCTGCCTTGAATTATTTATAAAAATAATAAAGCTGGGATATAAATAAATAGAACTTTTAAAAAAAGAAAAGATGGCCTTTCAGACTTGTTCAAGAAAAAAATGCCAACATTGGCAAGAGGCTGCCACTATGGGCATGGACGTACTTGGAATATATATATATAAGGAAGTGAAAGAATATAACCGTACACCAATGTTGTACCAGAATACTGTATCAGAATGAACAAAAATGATAAAGAACTACTAACCCTCCACCACCAAAAGCCAAGGCATCCATGTCTCCTTTAAGAAAAAACATATTATCTCCAGTCCACTTGAAGACCTAGTCGTTAGAAAAATAAATGAAGACACACAAACACAGATGAAAGGAAATTATTGCTAAAAGAACAGCAACAAACATCATAAGACATCATCATCAATTTCTGCTTGAGAAAAATCCAGAGACTTTATTGTTAAAATGTTACAATAATGCCCTTATTCATTGTGATTGCCAACTCAACTTCTTTCAATATATTGAAATTCCATCTCACTTGAATTTCTATCCCTAAATTTAGTGAATCATGAAGTAATCCTAATCCCCTTTATTAATTTATAGAAACTCTAATCTTCTGATAAGAGCAATATTTATGAACATTTACAGAAAAGGAATCACTAATTGTTTTGTAGTGTTCATTATCATTCTTTACTGATTTTGTGGCTGTGTATGTACTGTATATAGATGAATGTGTGTGTTTCTTTATAATAGCTTTACGGCTGGAAAATGTAATTCATGGGAAAATGTAGGGTAATCCTTCATGGCAACCACAATCTAAATTCTAGATGGTAGGCCTCACTATTCAAAATGTAATTCTGCCTATTTTTAACTGGAATTTAAATAATTTCATAGCAACATAATATTAGTAGACTCATGAATAGTGTAATCTTATTATATATTATGTAAATAATTTAGGCATTCTTTTCTTAGTTCTTACCTCAAATTCTGGGCAGAATGTAAAAAGAAAGGTTTCTCCTGTGCCATAAAACCCATCACTCACTTTAAAAGGTTCAGAAGCGAGAGCTCCAAAAATCTAAAGAAAAGAATAAAAATAATCCAGTAACCATGACATTTCCACTGCTTTTGTGCATAATATATAGGAAACCTATCCCATGAACATGATTAGATTAATTGGAATTATCAGGAGTTTATTTCTATTCATTCCATGAAGATCAAAGCACAAGCAACCATCAAGTTGAACTAAGCCATAACTTCAGCAAGGTATTCAATGGAACATTTTTTTGGAGACGAAAAAGATCTACTAAGATATGAAAAGACTTCCAGATGGCATTAATTCAGCAAATATAAAGCAGAAAACTCTTTAAGAAGAGGTAATTCTTGTACAAACATTTGGACAAGTTGTGGCTGGCTGCCATCTCTAATACTTGCCCTGTTCTTGTCAAATCAACTTTTCCAATGTTCTTGGGCTGAAGGTGTCAGGTGGAATGGCAAGACTAGTTCATTTAGATAGCAAATCATCAGAACAGGATCAGCATAGCCTGTTTGCACTTGTTTTCTCAACAGGTTATCAGATAAAGATCAGTCCAGTTTGACCGCTCCTAGCTGATTCAGTATGTATGCCTTCCATTTATTTAAGGAAAGAGTTGGAAAAAAAAGAATGCAGGAATATTGCCAACTATTGTTTGTCTCATGTGTACAATGACTCTCCACTCCTCCTAGTCTTCCTTTTTGTTCAATGCAATGGAAACCATACGCTTTCTTTTTGCTTTTGAGACTAAGGCGTAAAGGAACAATTACCGAAGTAATAAGAATTTTAAAAAAATAAATCAATGGGCTGTTCTTAAAAGAATTGCTCTAAAACACTTGGAGTGATAGTATGGCGTGGTTATACTGACAGTAAAGAGAATCTGACAGAGATATTTAGTATCAGGTTCAATCCTCTGCTGACTGAAGAATTCCAAACAGAAACGTCAGATGTCTAAGCAGCATTTTGTGTAAATAGATCCAACAGATGTGTGTGTGTGTGTGTGTGCGTGTGTGTACATGCGCACGCATATGAATACATAGCTTCAAATCAGTCTTGACTCCGGGCCACTGCCTGGACAAGCCTCTGCATTTTCCTTGGCAAGAATTCAGAAACGGTTACCCACTATCTTCTTCCTGGGACTGAGAGGCTCAAAGTAACCCAGCTGGCTTGGTGCCTATGGCAGGACTAACACTCACGGTTTTCTGGTTTCTAGCCTGGCGACTTTAACCATTACATCATTGTGGCTCCCACATCCAACAAATAGAAGCTGCCTCACTGATTCACTGCCGAACTGCTCTTAATTTCTAACAGACAGCAACAATTTCCTTTCCTGTAACTTCTGCTTTGCATTCTAGGTTGACATGTAACAGGGTTTGGCTTTCTCTATGTAGCATTTTTTCAGGTTTTGTATCTTCTCTCAATATACATCTCTCTTCCCCACAATCTTACCAACCATCCCAAGATGCAATAGAGATGATAAATTGTAAGTATTGCTCTCACTTGAGAAAAGATTTGAAATATAATATTCTTCCACAAGCTTTTCTGTAAAGTTAAGTACCAATATTTCTCCCCTACCCTTCTTTTGAGGCATCCATCAAGTTCCGAAACTGGAAGAGTCTGTGTGGGTGATGGGCAACAAAAATGTTTCTGCTTGCATGAGTTAAATTATCTTAAACTGTCCCATTCTGCATTGGGTTCAGGCTTTTCAAACACACGCAAAACAGCTTAAATAATTCTCTAAATGGTTATACAGTTTGTCCAATTTGTACCTTCCTAATAACCTGTTTTATATCAACCACTGTGTCTCTAATATTAAATAATACTTTGGAAGTGTAAAATATATCCAGGCTTTCAAAAATTACTCAATATGTTTATTGGAAAGGGAATAAATCCTGATATATTTGTAGATTAACACATTTGTAATAACAACAACAATAGAGTTGGAAGGGGCCTTGGAGGTCTTCTAGTCCAATCCCCTGCTCAGGCAGGAAACCCTATACCATTCAGACAAATTGTTATCCAGTCTCTTCTTGAAAACTTCCAGTGTTGGAGCATTCACAACTTCTGGAGGCAGGTTGTTCCACTGATTAATTAATTGTTCTAACTGTCAGGACATTTCTCCTTAGTTCTAGGTTGCTTCTCTCTTTCATTAGTTTCCATCCATTGCTTCTTGTCCTGCCTTCAAGTGCTTTGGAAAATAGCTTGACTCCTTCTTTTTTGTGGCAAAGACTGATTTGATTCCCCCCCCCTTTAAAAATAGTAACACTTCCATATTTTTGCAATCAAGAAATCTACTGTACTGAGTGAAGTTACTTTGTTTTTAAAGTACCAGCAGGAAGGGCAGTGGAAAACCACTTGGGTATTATTGCCAGAAATGCTATATGGCAACAGCTACAGAGCCATCAGGGCTTGAGTTCAGCTTGCAGGAATGCTCATTTTAAAATGCTATAGGTGTTTTGCAATATATTTACGTTCAGCCTGCTATACTTGAGTTTTCTTTTTTAAAAATTAAAAAAACATTGAGCTTTCCTGTATGATAGCTAAGTTGTCTTAAAATTTAGGATCTGTTATGGCAGTGTTTCTCAACCTTGACAATTTTAAGGCATGTGGACTTCAACTCCCAGAATTCCACAGCCAACATTGCTGGCTGTGGAATTCTGGGAGTTGAAGTCCACATGCCTTAAAATTGTCAAGGTTGAGAAACACTGTGTTATGGGGAAGACGGGGAGCAAAGGAAAGAAAAAGTGACTATTGCAATTTCCATACCTGTCCATCACTGTCTTTGATAACTAGCAGCACTGGTGTGTCCAAGCCTGCCATAGTTCTGTACAAAGTCTTCAAGCTCATGCCATGCTTTGCAGTACTGTAGACAAGAGTCCATGGATATCCAATAGTTCGAGGAGGGAGCTGTTTTGTTAGCTAAAGAAACACAGGTGCAAGTGAGGCACGTGCACTGAACAAAGTGATTAACCTAGAAAGGGTTTTAATTCATGGGGACAAAACATGTTGTGTTAAACATATAAAAAACCAAAAATTAATATTCATACCAAATCTTATAAATGCATGATGCTTTACAGCAACATTTTCAATCCTTATGCTACACAGAGGCAAAATGAATTTGCTATATCAAGTAATTTATCTGGACTTAAGTTCTATTGAAATAATCTGGGCTTTATTTCCAAATAAATACATTTAGGACAAGAGTATTAGGTCCTGTGTTTGGCTCTTTGAGGTTATTACGGTTGAACCTCGCCCGTTCAAATCATAGTGTTTCAGGAACGGAAACTGTATTGCTGAATAACCTATATATATTTTGACAAACAAAGCAATAATATGAATGAGACAAAAATCAGAACTTTTTCTATTCATCACAACATGGTCCTTGTTTTTTCTCTTACTTATTAGCAGCAGCCATAGCTTGCAGTGAATACAAACAACATGCAGGAACATATAACATCTCATAAAAAAACTGTAAACTGTGAGTCATGATACTTAACGTCACTAAAAGCCACTAGGCATACTGAAAGCACCATTCGGGAATTGTCCATTCTAACTGAATTTTATTTATCAAATTTATTTGCTGCCTATCTCGCAGTTGAAGAAATATAGTGGGGCTTTTCCTGGAAACCAGATAGCAGGCTAGGTGCCCAAAGTCTTGAATTCCCTATGGAAGGATCTCCCACCAACAATCTGGATATCTCTAATGCTATTAATGTTTAAGAAAACCACAAATACTTGGCTTTTCAAGAAGTAATTGGAAATTGAGTAATTACCAGGTAAAAAGTCAGTTTTAACTCTTTCTGTTTAAATTATTATGTTTTTTACTGTATTATTTTATTCTTTTAAGGATCTTCATGTATATAAGATGCTTTGAGTTGTTTCAAGGTAGTCTTATAAACAAAAGCAGTAAATGAATTATTGAAATCCAAGGAATTATATTTTCCACTGTTGCTTCATATTTTCCAAGTTCTAGAAGCCTATTGTGTATACTTGTGACCAGTGTTGAAGGAGGAATGCTTAAGGACTAATGAGCCTTATTCTCATTTCCATCATCAAGAAAACAGTTACTGAGAAAAAAACCCTCAAGACAAATAAAAATGGATCCACTAGGATTGTCCTAAGATCTGCAAATGACTTTATGGACAATTTAGATAATCTCCTCATGATTACAACTAATGGATCCAGCCTTGTGCAACGGAGTTAGTTCAGAACTGTTTCATTTAGAACTTTGTTTTCTTTACCCAAGTAACATTTCTATCTATTCCAGACAGAATACTATTCCAAAGAAGTACATTTTAAACAGATCAATTCAGATTTTGCTTTTATGCTCTAACATAAAATAAACAATTGCAGCAGCCAAGTTAGATTTCCTTACTTACCATATAATAATGGTATACAGAAAGTTTGAATCTGAAATGTTTTTGATTACAAATGTGATTGAGTGTGAAATGCTTTGTTTCAACTTTGAAACAGCTGTTTGATCCTTGCTGGAATTGTTACAACATTGTTTTAATGACTTTGGAAATGTTCAAGTGTTTTGAGTTCAAAACAGACTCTTTTCAATCTTAAAACACCTGTTTTGAATTTGAAACAAGACTATTTTGAGTTCATAGTGCTTCTGGAGTAGTTGGATTGAATTGGGATACTTCTAATAAGGTTGGAACAACCTACTTTGAATTGTACCCAACTGTTTTGGATTTGGCCTAAAATGCAATGTTTCAAACTTGAAATGTTTAAGATTAAAATCTGTTTCCCATCTCTAATTTAAAATAAGTATTGAAGAACCAAAGTGAAATGTTAAAGCAAATAGCTTTATTTTTTCCTAATTTTTGAGGTCACGCTTAAAAAGATAGGGCAACACTTACTATATTTTCTGGTTTCATTTATTGTGTTTCTAATATTAGACCAATAAATGAATTCTTTTGGACAGTTATAGATAACAGATAGGAAATGGGGCAAAGAGGTAACTGTTAATAACCTTGGAGGAGGTAAAGAGACACTGAATTTATTCTTTTTTTTTTTTAGTATATTTTATCTGGTTTTGCATTGTAGCAACGCAGCCAAGGGATTGTGGAGCTCCGCACCCCATGGCTGGTTTCGCCCTGCTTTATTATAATTTTATTATAATAAAACCTAATACAAATTAAACAATGATAAGATAAATTAGGAGCAAAAAGTACAAAGAATAAAAAGGAAAAGTAAGAATATAATGACAAGTAAAAAAATAAATAAGTGACTTTCAACTTTCATCACAAGGATGAAATCAACATTGTTCTTTCCACTGCTGTTGGCCAAGAGTAAGCGAGAAAAGAATAGCAATTTTTAAAAATAAATAGCAAGAAGCAGCCATATTGGTTCCATGTGGTTCATTTACATTCAGTAGCAATTATCCCAAATATAGCAACTATTTCCTTGTTTACTAAATAACTTTCATTTCTTTTTAAAAATGCTTTGCTCTTTATAGAAAATAGAGCTTAGGGCTGTATATATCCTAGTGTGTTTTCTTTTGTTATTAGCAATAGCAATAACACTTAGACTTACATATCACTTCATAGTGCTTTACGGCACTCTCTAAGTGGTTTACAGAATCAGCATATTGCTCCCAACAATCTGGGTCCTCGTTTTACCGACCTTAGAAGAATGGAAGGCTGAGTTAATCTTGAGTTGGTCAGGATGGAACTCCTGGAGTAAGCAGTGAATTAGCCTACAGTATTGCATTCTAACCACTCGACTACAATGGCACAAAAATCTCTTTGGTTTAGTTTTTTTCTGAGCATTGCTGGCACTTCTGTACACCATATTTCAACAAAAGGAAACTTCAAGCCAATAGCCAGAAATGTTTGTATTTATTTAGCTGGTTTGTTCACATGCTGCGTTGAGGTGAATAATGCTTTCTGTTTGTCTATGAATTTTTAAATGCTCCCTATTAAATTTACAAAAAAGCAATGCTCTTGTTCAGATTTTTAGTATGTAGGGTGGCAAACAGGAGTCAGAATAGATTATCAGAGAGTATGCACAAAATTCAATGATGTTGGAAATGAAAAGTTCCCTCCAGACCACACCAAACCTCCTTAAGATCACGCCACTTGAAAGCAATTGGTAGCTTCTGGAACTATATCTACTGAACTGCAAGTGTTTCACAGTGTCCTCAGTATGTCACTCTAAATAAGACAGGCCAGTTTCAGGTCTGTGTGGCACATCTTCAGCCACTTCCATTTGGAGCAGCTTTCTCTTACACTTGGCTTAACTTTTTTGAGAATGCCATGGCTAAGAGGAGGACTGAAATGTTCTATAGTTTTCTGGAATGTGATGAATCATTGAATTTTATACATTCCAAACTGACATAAAAAGGGAACAGGATGCTTTTTTTGAATTCCTATTTTTTCAATTACTCTCTATGGCAGAATATGAAAAGCATTTAAAGTTTCATTTATATACTGAATGCTGGAAATATTCTGAGTTTTATGTTATAATTTAACCAATTCAAAATATTTCTCAAGTATTGCCCTATATTTGAAACAAAGCATTTTGTTTCTTTCATATCATTAGTCAACAACAATTAGTGTTACAATTCAAATTTCTAAAACAATTTTATTGCAATGTGAAAATTGTGTCAATATAAGAAATGCAGTATTTTTTCTATATATACCTTTTCAATTTGATCCAACTGCAACAGTTCACTGGGATCACTAAGATTTGGCCGAAATGCTTCAGGCTCCAGTTCGGTTTTGATAGTTGTTCCCTGTTTTGAATATGTATCTTCTCTTGTAGTAATCTGCATGGAATGAAGAAAGTTGAATTAGCATTCAAAATGCTATTCAAAACAACTTTATCACATTCATCCTATAAAAATGAAAGCTTACATGTCAACTTGTGTAATGTTTTAAATATTAGATACAATGCCAGACGTTTAATTTGGATAGGGCCCATCACTGAAAGAATGCAACATTGGAAGCTTGTGAGCCATTTCTGTTATTTAAACTATGCACTGTATCCTATAACTTTTTAAGGTACCATTTGATCCTGACTAAAACTGAATCTCAGAGGTAAACAATAGAATCTAAAAATATTATACTGAAGTAGTATAATATTTGCATTCTGGCAATCAGAAGATATTCAGATCCATCCTTAAATAAGAATCAGTTGACTACTCATACAAACAGAACCAGTGTCTCTTGAAAAGAAAAGCTTACATCAAAAAAACAAAAACAATTGCAGCCCATAGGTTAAATTATTTTAAATATAAGCTGCTTTTAATATTGTGCATGGCCATTCTAATCTTAATCTGTGCAGTCTTGCTGCACGCATAAACATTCACATAAAAATATAATAGTTACCTGAGAATTAAGATGTGTCTCCCTGCAACAATGTGTAAAACCTTGTACTGGGCAGAAATTCATGTAGATTAGGCATGTCAAACTCAACATCACATGATGTCATGTGACGTATTGGGACTTTTCCCCCATTGCCGGCAATGGGATGGGCACGGTTTTGCCGTGACGCATCCGGCCCTTGGGACGGCAGTTTGACATGCCTGATATAGATAAATGGTAGAAAAGATCGAGATTCGGAGTCAATCTTTTATCTTCATTCCCCATTGACACTTACAGTATTACTTCGCTCATTTCCAATTTCAAAACTAGGCTATAAAATTTGAAACAGCTGGAGATTTGGCTGGTGTGGACCATGCACAGAAGGGATGGAGCATCTGGGGTAACATCTGGGTAACCTTCCACTCAATGCTTCTCTGTTTAGAACTCAGTGTGCATTTTATTGTTTGAAAGTAGATGTATCCTAGAGGTACTGGAAGACCTCTTAAACTTTCAGTAATATTAAGACAACCTAAATATATCAAATTTTTCCACAAAACATAGAACTGCTGTTCACATCTCTTATATGCATCTACTGAGCAAGTGATCAGCAAGAACTATGAGAAAAATCATATGGAAAAATCATATTGCTGCAATAGGAATATTGCAACTTTTTAGACAGTGTCTATCAAGTTGAAGTACTGTATTTTTCTATCTGCTGTATCTTTATAGTCCACAATACAAATGATATATACACATATACATATATGATTTCACAATAAACTATATGGCATTTCCAATAAACATTTTATATGTTTAGTATGCATTCCACTGAACTGTCTTCCATATGTTGTAAAATAAGAAAACTCTATAGCTTAATTCCATTGCAAGCTAAATAGGTTAATTCAAATGATTTAGAATAATTGCAAGATTTATCCTGGAGAACAATCTGTCTGTGTAGTTACCAAGACATGATCTGTCTTGAATGCACATACTTAATCAATAGTTGCAAGGTAAGGAACATTCAGTTCAACAATCCAAATAAAACATTAATGCTATGCTTCACATTATCAGCCAACACAAGTGTTCCAATAACAACAGTTAGCATTTTTTTCATGCTGCAGTAATGATTGTTCTACTTCAACAAGTCTACACTTCTTTGCCCCAACAATTATTCATTATCAGTAACATTAATCACAGGTAATATAAGCCAAGGGACTATTTTAAATTAGTTTTGCTAAAATGCTTCTAGGCAGTGTTTAAAATGTACCCTACTTACAAAATGATTCACCAATTAAAAGAAGGAAGACTATGTAGTCCAGGCATGTCAAACTGCCGGCTCATGGGCCGGATGCATCATACTGAAACTGCGCCCACCCCATTGCCGGCAATGGGGGAAAAGTCACGATACATCATGCGATGTCACGTGACGTTGTGAGTTTGACATGCCTGATGTAGTCCATTAATATGGACGTTTAACTGTGTTTAAGGAACACCATTTTATCTGGCTGTTTGACAACTGTTTTCTTGAAAAAAGGAACAAAGGCAGTTTAGCAAGTATTTATATAACTAAGATTTACAGATAAAAACTTATATCTTTGATATATTAAATAATAATGTAAAGTTTATCCAGTTACTAAATTAGTTCTGAAATGCCAATGACAGATTTCTTTAAGGGCAGATATCCTATAAGGAATTTTGACAGTCACATCAATAGCAAATAATTCACATGCCATTTGATATTTTATTGACAGTTGCTCCCCACCCCCTGCAATTTATACTAACAGACATAGTGTGTTGGCTTCTAGTTAAAATAAGCTTTTAAAACAGCAGACTTCTTGAATTCATTATCTTAAAGGTTCTTCTTAACCTCTCATGTTATCAATGTCTTAACTCATGAACAAATCTCTTAAAATATTAGCTGTTAGCAGCAGAATGAGCAAAACTACAAAAGCATTTTCTTCCAAAAATAATTAACTATAAATATTATTCAAAACCTGACAAAGATTTTAAAATGATGATCCAATTTTGTGTTAAGAAAAACTGACAAAATAACAAATAATAAAAACAGAATCTATACTTTTTAATTACACTGAAGTAAATAGCACTATAGATGCTTAAATGTTTAGGTAAACTGTCTGCATTAGATAGTTTATTACTGTATTAATAGAACTGTAGCAGTTCTATTTCATAAAGCTTTAGAAAATGCTTCTGAAATTTTAAAGATATAAAAGTAATAATGTGTACACATTTCACATATGTCTATCTATTGAGAATACAATACATGTAGATACCAATAGGCTTATAAGATCTCAGCTTAAAGTGGAGAAACAAAATTGAAAATACATGTCCAGTTTGACAAAGTAAAAGGCATCTACTACTATGTAACTGACTTCAGCTGGTCTGCAGGTAAGAAGTGGAGATTAAGGTGTTTTAGTCACTGAGCCTAAAACAAACTCTTCTGTATTCTCTTTTGTAAACTTTTTATTCAATTAAAACTCCCATCCTCAGATATGACATAAAGTCCTAATTATTTTGAAAAAGAAAATTAAGAAATGTGAACAAAGTTTCAAAACAATATAAAAATGCTCAGAGCGGACCCCCTAGGTGTTTTTTAATTTCATTTTCATACAGAATGTTCATTGATTTAGTATTTTTTATCTAATCTCTGAAAGCCACTTTTTCTTTCCTTCTTTTTTTGTCTAAATCACGACAGCCAAAAGGAAAGAAAAGACAAAGCCAGTTTTTTAAGGTTTATGGAGTATGCAGCTCCTTAATTTGGTCCACAAGGTACAATTACCTTAAGGACTAGCTAACATTAATGGAAAAATCTGTGGTAGCAAATATGTGATGTCATTATCATCCTTTTTATTATTATTATTATTGACAATTTACAGCACTTTTTGAATACCACAAAATCTCTTCCTGACCTAAAAGGTAGCAAGGAGGCAAAAAGGAATGCCAAAACCACTATCAGTAAAAGGACAAAAAGTATCTGCAGTGTGTACCATGGATTGCAGGTATCCACAAGAACCATCAAGATGGGAACAATGCTAGAAAATGGCCAGTGAAGTTACACAGGTCTTTGCTAAGTCATTGTTTGGGGTGGGTGGAATTGATGCTGAGGACCATAGAGTAACTGAACGGGACTATGAAGCTTAGATTAACAATAAGAGAAAGATGTTACAACAGGAAAAAGTAACAGGATTTGCAGAAATAATTGTGCACAAAATAGGAGATAAAGATTCAGCGCAGGTAGAGGTATCTGAAGGAAATGGGACTTTCAAAATGGGTTACCCAATGATAAAGATCTCATTTCCAGACAGCCAACACAAAAAGGACAGTACCACATTTACAACTACTATGCAACCTGATATGATCCACTACTGATTTGATCCACTTTTGGCTAGCACTGGCTTCTTTTGTAAGAATAGCCAGATCCCAGCAGAACCAGCTTCTAACCTCGTAGCAAGGGCTTCCTGCATCCATTTCACCAAGCTTTTGCTTCACAGTTAAGCTCAATCTGAGATTGGATGTCCTTGCAGAGCTCACGAAAAATCAATTTATAAGTAACCAATCAGTTCCAGGACACAACATTATAAGGAACAGCTCATTCCATACCAGGCTTATCTGATATAGTTCTTAGGCTAATTGGAGATGAAAAACTGAGCAAGCAGATATATAATGGTGATACAGCTCATTGTAAGACACCAAGAACACAGAGAGCAGTCAGGCAATAGCAACAATACATCATAACAAATATGGGAACTTCGGTAGTATATACACATTAGATTTCAGAGGAATACAAATGGCACTACAAATGCCAGCACTTACTGGCAATGGTCATCAAGCTAAAAGTGAAGGCAAATATCAACATCTCACTGTGAAGTCATAGTCTTACAAATAACTTTTCCAAAGACATGGGAATTCATCAGATTGAGGATTCTATGATATGTAGCCTCAATCCATCAGTAAGACCCTAGATATGGATGGGCTGATTTAGACAAATGTCAATAATTCCAGTCTCCTCTCACATAATGCCTCTCCTGCTTCCGTAGAGACACAAGGCCAACATGCACAACCACCTGTTAAATTCATATATGAATCTACAGGACAGCTTTAGAAATATTTGAAATAGTTTGATTCATTCATCATAATTAACATTAACAGTTAATATTGAACAATACAACTGTTTTATTCATAGTATTAAAATAAACTGTGATAAACCAGCTGTGTAAAAGTGGACGAGATTGAATGTGCAAATCTAAGTATCTTAAATTTCAGCCATTCATCAGCCTCCTATGTATTGACATGCTACTTCTGCTCTGCCTTATAGAAATAACTGTGTGAGAATCCAGGCAATCTTTAACTTAAGTTTGTCCAGGAAGCTTCATCAACTGGTTTCACAGTCTTCAGGAATTACAGAGATCTTTTCCTGAGTTACATCTTATGGACTATAACTTAAGGTTTGCATAGTCCTTGTAACAAGTAGTATATATCCAGGATTTGGAAGATCTATTCAAAATTTGATCAAAATAATGAAGCACTTGCATTATCACTGGCAGTTTACTTTGAACTTGCAGAAGTTTGGCTCAGCTCTAAAAGTGACTCAATTGTAAAAAATGTCATCAGAACAACCATGGCAAAGTTATTGCTGCCTTATTTCAGTATAGTAATGAAGACAAAATAATTGAATATCGGCTTTGTTCTGATCAGGACCACTACATTAACAAATTCTAATCTCTAGTTGAGAAGAAAGCACCTTGAGACGTCGGCAGAGTGTACGTAGTTCTTCACTAATTAGAGCATCGATTCTGCGGTGATACTCAGCCACTGACACTACCTGAATATGGAGACAGGAAGACAATAATTCTACTCACAGTTTTTAAATGAAAAATAAAACAATATAAAAGAAATAACAGAGTATGGCAAAGTAAAACAAAGGGTGGGGAGAAAGAAATTGACAATGAAACAAAAATAAAAGTAACATTCTAATGATACAGTGCACATATGTAAGACACATATAGACATACAACAATCAGAATTTCCAGTAAAATAACCAAATAAATTTGTACCACAGAATAAAAACAATCTGCTAGGTAAACATATAAGCATGCACATCCACGAAATATTTCCTTACATAAATACCACCTGTTGTTTTTACTAAATTACTAATTGATAAAAAAGAAGCAGAAACAAAAACAGGTCTTGTATAAAAGCAATTGTAAAAAAAAAGTACAGAAAAAGGAAACTAAAATTATCAAATGACTGGAATATTTTTTATATGAGAAAACATTGTCATATTTGATTGACTGATTGCCACATTTGGGTCTCTTTCCCTTACTAAACAGCAAATAAGAGAGGACATAAAATCGTGTGAATCAAGAAATATTGTTGTGCTGGACAGTATGAAAACCAGCACAAACACATCACATACAATTAAATTACAGATGAAGTCCACTATGCATTAAAAGAATGGGTAGTACTAGACTAGAGAAATGTATAAAGGATAATGGCATGTCAGACTTCAGACAGATATCTTACTATTGCTGAAATGCGGTACTAAACTTGAAAGATGTGGCATTTACATCCTGGGTTACAATGACCACATTGTCCATGAACAATACTGTAAGATACTATCTTATTAATCATTGTTTATAAAAAAAAAATCAAATGTCCTCCAGGGGAATTTATAGACAGATGCAGTTTACAAACATATTTCAGGCTTCTAGAAAAGTAAGGAATAACTTTAAACAATAGCCAGTAAAAATTAATATCTGTCTTATTAAAGTATATAAACTGTATTTTATTGTTGAAATCTGTATTATGTAAGTTATAAAAAAAACGAGACAGAATTATTCCAACTGCACACAACAGCATGGAGTTGGTCAGATTCAGGCCTTAATGGATTCACATATGGTGAGATGACTTTAATATGCACTTATAAATTCAAACCTGGCAAACAGACTGTATGCATATTATTAACAAGCAAAATCATAATAAAACAAAGGTAGAAACGCGGGGGTATTAAATTAGTTCTATATTCATTCAATACTCTCCAACTGTTTATCAAAACAAATGTTTTTTTTCTGTTTATCAAAACAACAATTTCTGCAGTCAACAGGCCAGAAAGGTAGGCTGAAGTTTATATATTAAGAACTTTCAGAAACTCAGACCACTACTGTACCTACATAATTTAAAGAGTCATAATTTCCTCACATCTCTAGAATAAGCAGAAATTAAAACTCTATATTAACATTTTCACATTTTATCAGTCTATGGAAACTGTTTAAATAAAGAAAAGATTCCCAGAATGTCTTTTCATAAATAACGATTTTCCTTTCTTTTTTAATTTCCCTTAGTCTCTCATGGAACCCTAGGATTCTGCAGAATGCAGACCTTTGAGAATTTTTTCTGTACATGACTTTTTTTTAAAATGTTCATTATTCTTCAATTTCTTCAGGCCTAATATATAATCTCTTACAATGGACAACTTTCACACTTACTTAGTATAGTTGCAGAAGCATGCACCTTTCTATATAGCATAATTTAATATGTATACAATATATTCTTGCCATCACAGTTATTTTCTGTTTGCAGTAGAGAAACAAGAATTTTGCTGTTCAGAATAGCTGTAATGAACATATATGAAGAAAAAAAGCCCAATCCCAACAACCCAAAGAACGGACCTCTGCTCATAAAATTTATAATATCAAAAAGTTTTACAAAAATAATCTGTTTTTTGAAATTAAAGGAAGTCCTGGACTTATAACAATTGAGCTCAAAATTTCCAATACTAAGTGAAGAAGTTCAGTGAATTGAACCTCATTTTACAACATTGGCCACAGTTAAGGGAACCACTGCGGTTGTTAAATGAATGCAGCCATTAAGTGAATCTGGCTTCCCCCACTGACTTTGCTTGCTGGAAGCTGGCTGGGAAGGTTACAAATGGAGATCACATGACCTCGGGACATTTGCCAATTGCCCAAATTTTTAACACATGACCATGCGGATACTACAATAGTCAGAAGTGTAAAAACTGGTCACAAGTCACTTTTTTCAGTGGTACTTCGAACGGTCACTAAATGAATGATTGTAAGTTAAGAACTACCTGTACAATATTTGATACCTTGCTATCCATTGCATACTTTATCTCTGCTGAATAAATGCAGTATTCAATTTGCCCTTAATATTCTCATCAATAAAAGAGAAAGTTTTCCATGAGTTAAACTCAACTGCTATTAGTTGCATGAATGCATCCATGTTTTTTTCTTGGAACAATAAAGTGGAATTACCTTTAGATTGGATTTTTTTTAAAAAATGATGCAGTAGTTCAGCTTATATAGTTTTCAAATGACCATTTAGGGACCATTTCAAGTTAGGATGAAATGCAGAAAAGCTATTTAAGACCCAGATTGAAAATTCCAATGCACCTTCCTTGCAGTCACATGATCTCATTTTGGGCATTTGGCAACTGGCTCACATTTACAGCTGTTTGCAACATCCGACTGTCACGTGACTGCAATTTACAAGGTTTTTAGCCAGAAAGCAGCATTTACTTCCAGTTTCCAGTAAAAAATGCCCACAGTGAACAATGGATTTGATTAACTGCTGCAGAAAAGGTCATAAAATCAGATGCTCTCATATGGTAACTTGCTTAATGACCATCACAACTTACATCTTTTAAATATACTCAGAGGAGCTGCAAAGAAATACAATATTCTCTTCTTCAGTAAAGCAAAAATATTTCCTGATTAGCATAAATTACCTTAGAATATAACTTTGTGATTTTGAAAATGTAAAGTTTTATAATATTCCTTAGGCTACTTGGTTAAATTTTATGACAGTAATTGCAGGCTTAATTATGGTCCTGTGTTGAGGACTACCTAGCCTAAAAAGATCAAGACCACAAATTATTTTCCAATGTAAGAGTTATATAGTTCAAGCATAAATGGTAATCATTAAAAAAAAATAGTTGTGGAATTTTTTTCAAACCTTATAAATTTCACTTGGAAACTTTTAACTTTTTTCATTACTGAAGTTTTCTATTGTTTCATTTAAAATTAGGTTAGAAGAACTAAAGAAGATATCTCATTCTATTTTTTAAAAAAATCTCTATTTCTTATAGGATATCCATTCCTTTTCCTACTGTTTTAACAGGAAAATACAGATACTCATAGGAGCTGCAAAGAGATACAACATCCTGTTCTTCATTAAAGCAAGAATATTTCCTGATTAGCATGTTACATCAGAATATAACTTTGTGATTTTGAAAATGTGAAGCTTTATATTATCATTTAGGTAACTTGGTTAAATTTTACTTTATGAATGTACAACCACATAATTACTTTGCTAAATGTGGTATTTATGGCTATGATATATTATATTATGGCAACGAGGATTGATTTCATGTCAAAAAAACTCCGTCCCACAGAATGCTAAATGAGGACTTTATTTTGCAATTTTTATAGTGATTAGTTCAGTATGTTTCCCTTCAGGAGAGATACCTCTTGAATGTTAAAGTCCTCAGCTTGGAATCTGGCAGACTAATCCTACTGTTAGTTGGGGGATGGATTTCAACTATTCCATCTTAAAAATTTCATTAGAGATGCAAAACACAGAAAATAGTTTGAAAAATCCTGGAATTGCAGTACTTCTCAAGATGTTTGATAGGGACACAATAGATGTATTGCAAAAAGTATGTTTATATTTATCTGTACTGTGTTGAATATCTCATATAAGAAAAATATTGCCTATTGCTGCCAATCCTCTGTGATAACTCTTTCCAAAGTTGTGCACCAATGGCTCTGCAATTTCTTACTGTGCAAAGAAGTAGAGATTAGATACTATAAATATACCACAGTTTGTAACAATATTTAAGTCTTAGTATTAAATTTATACACTGAAGCCAATGTATAAATTATGGAAACTGGATTTCATTTGCAACAGTGCAAGTGCTATTACAATGCTGTAATAGCAAATATAAACCACATAGCTATAAGATATTTTGCTTTCAATGAGTAAAAAGTCTCTAAACAACATAAAGTATCCTAAACGGTAAAATCATATGGTATGGAAATAAAGTTTAATATGTGTCCTGCTGAGCAAAAGACTAAATCAAAAACTGGGGTGCTCTAGCCCAGCAGGAGGCGTGGCAACTTTTCCAGACTTAGTCTTTTTGAGCAGGAAAAATAAGACAACCCACTCGTGGATTCTCCATTCTCATGCTGGAGAATAGCAGTATTTTGAAGGAGTATGTTGCCAATTATAAGCTGCAAGAAGATTCAGATTCAAGTTTGGTTTATCTGGGTTCAGTTTGAATTCAGAAACCTGCAGTGCTGAGAAAATAAATAACCTGACACAAATAAACTAACTAGTATTGGCTAATTTCTTAAACCAATTAGGGTATCCATGCCATTTCTGGATACAAAATCAGCCCTAGAATTTTCCAGCTGGCTCTGCTTCCTGACACATGGGGCAGTAAAATAGACACACTCCCCAGCACCACAAAACTGCAGCTATTTTAAGAGCAGGAAGAACCACTGGATCAGCCCTTCATTTTCATTTCCCATCTGGCTCCTTTTCTTTGCACTATCCTGCCATTCTGTTGGCTGCCTTCCTGCTGATATTTTGAACTCTCTAACCTGAACATATAAAGTGGCAACTGAAGCTACTCTTTAAAAAGCAGTAATTTTCACTTCTGCCAGATCACTCAAAAACGTTAGAGGGAAAGATGCAGGTGCAGCAGAAAGAGGTGTCAGTGTGCTTGATGTGGCAAAATATGTGATATGGTAGTATCTTAGTTATTAGTTAGTTTGCACCAGCTGCAAGTACACTAGGATA